CGCTAAGCTAGCTACATGAAGCCTATAGCTTATTAACACTAGTGAGAGTTAATAGTGAAAAAGATTACATTAGCTTGTTATTAAAAGTCGATTTCCTCAAATACTGCTGCCAAAGAGCAAATTATTTCACTTGAAATGACTATGTCAGATGCCTTGTCTATCCATGCCCATTTTTGGGGCTGTGAAGAGTTTCAAGGGCTACTGCTATAAGTCTAGTAGCCTGTTAAGCAATGAATCAGATAGCATGCTATCTATCTATCACTTTTTTGCATCCAGACACTAATGGACAAATGCTTCTGTCTCATTGAAGGTGATGGGTCCTCTCCCTGTCAGTGAGTGCTTCCTCCCAGTCTCTGCTATTACTGGAACTGTGTATTCTTTTCTCACATCTTCTCAATCATCAGGGATGCAGCGGCTAGCTAGTGCTTCAATCAGTCATGCTAAGGTCTACTGTAGCTGGCTAAATTTCTAGCTCAAGCTTTAATCCATCTCCCAGGACTCTTATGTAAGTTTTCAGTAACATAAGTTACGCTGTCATTAGCTTTCTCAATCTGTACAGCCAGCTTCTCTGCAGGGCTATGAAGGTCATCCGATGCTTCCACTTTCAAAAGTTACAGTTTTTCTCACTAACGATCTGCTGTTTTGGTGACTATGCTTCTCCTCTGTCAGTTGTTAGGCATGATAAAGCTATTTGATGCATTTCCTCACTTATATAACCCTTGATTCATGAGTCATTACAGCGCCTCCTCCCCAACACCTCTTTAGTCTGTCCGTCTAGTTTTACATCCTCAGGCGATCGAGCAGGACTGCTTGTTCTGTAGGAGACAAACTAGGACTGTTCTGTTTGTATGTACTCACTGCAAGTGCTCAGCCTTGTTAGTAACTGCCACCATCCATGAAGCTCAAAGCAGCTTCTAGCAATTTGCATTTTTAATTTCAAACATGTCAGGTGCTGACCAGCACTTCTCTCACGCTACAGTTGGCTTGCATTTATCAGCTATCATCAATCAGACAATTGAACGCATGGCAAGTTATTAATTAGCATTCATCCTCAGCTGTCAGCTACTTAGCATGGCCCTGCAATTGCGTGACTATTTACCCATCAATGCAATTACATGTTTAATTCAATGGGTGGCCCTTGCTTTGCCCCAATGGCATTTCTCTGGAGAGAGGGGCAGGTGCTCACTAATGTACTATCCAAATCCCTGTGATATTTTGATGGCTAGAGGTACTTCATATTCACCAGCAGCATGTTACTGATTTAGTAATGTGGAGTCAATTGTATTTTTCACTACAACAAAATTACTGTAGGCTGTTTAATATTTTTTTTAAGTTAATACAGTTTTACAGTCCTAGAGGATGTCATGATCTAAAATGGTATTTAGTCTAATGGATTTAACATGAATCTGTCCCAGATGTTGCATCAAGTATGAGTCTGGGTCAGGCCATAATTTGTAGTAATAGTCTGAGTACGGGATGGGATATACGATATTATCATGTATGGCAATAATAAACACTTGTGGTGAATTTCGATTATCGGGAAAATATTGAATATCCTCATGTTTGTGATTTAAAAAAGCTGTCTATTTCGCTGCATTCCTGATTATTTAGAATTGCTACAAGGTGGAGCCTTGGATTCTGAACTAAAGAATGACAGTGAGATGAGGTGCCCATCTGTGATGCAGTAAAAATGTTTATTGACTAAAAGTAGGCTAAGGTCAAATAATTCCTGTTTGTTTCAATGCCATTTTAAGATTTGAAGCATATTGATGATTATCGGGATAATATTGTGAATTGCATTTAATTTGGACAGGATAATTGTGACATACATTTTTTACATTGTCCCATGCCTAGTCTAATCCCAGCATAGAAAGACAATCTATGTATTAAGAATTTCTTGGTCATTATATTGTCTTGCGGCACTGTCAGTAGGCTACCCAGCCAACATCAGCATTTCCTTTTTCTTCCAAGGTCCACCTCCACATCTTATGAAAAGTATTTCAGCCATTGGCTTGGGTTACAAAAACAAGGTCATCTAGTTTTTTTATATGGGACTTATAAATCTTGAGTCCAAGTGCCGGCAATCAGGGTGTTAGTCTATATACAATATCTTGAGTAGAGAGCAAAACACTTGGAAAGCCCAGGCCTAATTACTTAGCACATGGTTGTGTGTGAGGGTGTTTGCACACACGTGTTTTCATTTGCATGTGTGTTTATGTGCGGTGGCAATCAGTAAAAGGGCGAGGTGACTGCTCAAACTAGAAAGCTAGTGAGTGGCCTGTCGACACATTGCCAACAGAACCTACTGGACGAATTGTCCCCAGATTCTGAAATGCACACTTTTTTATGTTGTTGGCTTGTTTTTATAGAAAAGGGGCATTAAAAAAAGTCCCTGGCCCATGAGGATGATGTGTGATATTAGCCTTGGAATCTTCTTTTTGTGTTTAAATCCCAGATCAAGCCATGGCGGTTCATTTCATCCAGAGAAACAATGTGGAGCATACAGATGTAATTAGTTTATTCAATTTTAACCTCTCCCAAAAAGCAACACTCCCTATGACAGACTAGATTTTATCCCCTCATCCAGCTTGTCTGCTGCAGTGTTTTACGGGGCAACAGTAGTCTGCACTCATTACTTTGAATGACTGCACAGTGCCTGTGAGCGAGCCAAAAGGGGCAGGATGTATTCTCACAACAGAGGCCTACACACTTTAGTGAAGGGAAAACAGGGAGACAAGCATTGCAGCTTACCAAGTAGCATCCCTGCGCCAGAATACAGATCTTATATCTGAGGACAATAGGCTCGCCATCCAGGGTATTCCTCTCTCTGTCTGTTTTGAAGCTCACCACTTTACCCCAGCAATGACTCTTAAGCGACTGGATCCGACTGCAGTCTGCTTTGCTGTATGACACACACCTACTCTGGTGGCTAACGATGTTAGCTACCGAGGCTTCGCTGACCTAAAGATGTTAGCGATGGCAGACAGCCTTACAAGAGACGGTAAACTGAAGGCGGTGCGGACGCGAGGGGGGAAACCTTTTTGCTAAACAGTCCAACCTGTCAGCTCAGTATAAAAGATGAAACAGTAGAGGATCTTTAGTAGAAAAAGAGTGGGGCCAAAAGAAGAAAGTTGGTAGCTCTTTAAAGTTAGAGGTAAAAAGGGTTGACTGTGGGTCTCAGCTGCTATGGGAGGCCTGGCTTCATCTTCTTTCCCATAACACAATGTGCCTCCAAAAATGATGAAAACTAAATAAAGAGTGCATCATGGGAATTGACCTACCCTGACCCAAGCTCTTCCTCCCATCCACCTGCTGTGCATTTCCAGAGAGTTCCACTCAATGTGATCTGTCTGTGCTTGGCCTTTGACTTCTATTAGTCATGTTCATGTTTAAACAGCTCTGCAGAACCTGGCTGGATAACAGAAAAGAAAAGCTACATAGCCCAGAGATTCACTACTTTCTCCTTCCATTTTTTTCATAACAATTGGCATCCACTGTGACACTCAATCAACACACTTTCCTGTGAACAAAAAAAAAAAAGGGCAATGGAATAAACAGTGCAGGTAATTACTTCTATACGGTAAAGTGGTCCAATAGGTAGAATAGCAAAGAACACTGATCTCAACTGAAGGTACGATGAGTTTGATTGATACAGTGTAATGTGATTTAACCACTATCAAAAAGTAGTACCAACACACAGAGTACAAAACTAGTCCTTATATGCCCAGCTCCACTCAAGCTATATTATGTTATGCAAGAAAGTTTTACCATATCCCCGGCCCCTCCCCTTTCTGTCCCCAACTCGAGCCCACAACATCCACAACCTGGAACTGCATTTCCCATGGTCCTGCGAGGGAGTGTATTTTCCTGTTATCCAATCAGGAAATCCGTCTGAAATTGCTCCAATGCAAGGGAGAGGGTGAAAATTATTCTTAATAATGACATAATCAGCAGAGCAGCCATCAAGCAGATAAATTGTCATGCGCATCGTGCTAAAATATCCAATTATCCTTTGTCCCCCAGCTCTCTGTGTTGAAGTTGGAACTGCCAGAAAGCCAGTAGGTGGATCCCCACTTCCCACTGGTTCAGTCCTGCTGGCAGGTTTGCAGTATAGACGCCCCCCACGAGAAGAGGGCTTAAACAGCCTTGGTGCTTAGTGTACAGATCTAGATATGTAAATAGGTTCTATACAATAAAATTGTTCCCAATCCTCAAAAATAAATGGATGAAAAGTATCTGTAGACATTTTTTTCCCCTCAAAATGGTTCCATTGTGCATACAGGGTTTCTTTTTTCCTTGAAGTTTTCAGTCCTTCCTTTGCCCTACTCAACAATAGTTTTTTTGCTTTATCTTACATAGCCTCCATTTATGAAGTTAACACATGCCTAAATTGGTTTGCTCTGCATCTACTCTGTGCCCCACAAACAGAGTAATCTGCAGTGCGATGCCAAAGGAAAACAATATGTTCTCTGTCTTTTACAAAGTGCTCCCCTCTTCTCACCTCCGAGGCGTGTCTGATGCTCTGTTCTGCTTCCAGATAATACTGTCAAGCAGTCATTTGTCAAAAGATCCCGAAGGCCATATCTGTCGCTAGAAAGAAAAAGTAGTTTACTGTACTTTGTTTTGCTGCAATATCAGAACAAAAATAAGAATAAAAAAACATCCTCCTCCTGTTTTAGCTTGTAAGGTTGTTTTTCTTCAACTCCTTATTTGTACTTTTTTCTTCTAATCTTTTATTTTTCTACAAAAACATAATTATTCTTTTTTTTTATCCTCTGGTCCAAACCCCCAGAAATCCCTTGACTATATTCCCTCAGGTATTAACAGGGTGGCGTACAATCCCAGGGTAATTCCATGGGTGTCTGGCAACTCCAGGCTGGCATTTCAGCTCCTGACATATCTGTGTTTGTCAGCATGACGGCCTTAAGTCTCTGCTGCAGCAGCGGCGTTAGATTTTGCCTCAGCCATCAGAGTCCTGCCTGCTGGGTGCGTACACAGGGCTATACCCGGGTGGTGGAGTGTGAGTGTGGGTGTGGGTGGGGCAGGGTGTTATTCTGCCCGCTGCTGGGGAAGGTGTTGAAAGAGTGGAGCGAAGTGAGCCCCCCCATGGTGCTCGGGATCATGGTTATGGTGTTTGGCGTCATGAGTGGGATGTCGTCCGGCGAGCGCCTCATGGCCAGAGTATAGTCCGGCGGGCAGGCAGTCCTCAGCACCATGTCATGCGGGTGCATGGAGTCACCAACCCCCCTGCAGTCCCGGTCCAGGTCTGAGTGTTGCTTCATTTGCAGGGACATGATCTCCTCCTCCTGAGTGTGAGCCAGGTCGTTGGCCGCGCTTCGCTGGGGGCTGCAGCGCCTGTGGACATCATGCCGGCGCTTGTCCTTCTTGTAATACAGTGCGGCAAATGCCAGAATGTTGAGGAAGAGCAGGGAGGCTCCTACAGCGATCGTCACAGATAGCTCAGTGGAGTAGTCACGCTGGTCCACCAGGTGCGGTTGGTTGTGGCTGTCCTGGGTCTCGGTGGGGAATGGAGTTGGGTTAGGGCGCTTGGTCACCAGAACTTTGGTCTTCGGGGTGCGGTTGGTAGCCTCAGGTGGAGGAATCTGAAGACAGGAAGAACAATAGTCAGTATAAATGTGATTTGAAGAGTCTATACGATATTGAAGTAGATTGGCATCGCCACATGCAAATAAGTCTGTAACCTCTCAGTTCATTGCGATTTTCAATCAATCAATGGCCACAGCCTTGCTCTGTCCAAAACTTAGAAAGTAAGTTCCTATCAAACCACAACTTGTCATTGTTTTTGGCAGTTTGTTTTTTGGTTTTGGACCTTATTAACTGGACAGTGTTAGGCTGTTTCCCTCAGCTCAAAGTCTGCAATGCAAACCTAATAACCTCCTTGCTCTAGCTCCATTAATGCACACAGATGAGAGAGGTATCGATTTCAGTATCTAACTCTTGGCAAAGAAGTGTATTTCCCAAATTGTTGAATTATTCCTTCTAGTATTTGAGCCGTTGTTCCTCTGGTGAGGACAATACATCAAATGACATTCAAATTATTCTTTAATCAAATCAGAGTTCGAAACCTCCATCAATCCATCAATGATACCTGCTTATTCTAAAGAGTCGAGAGGTGGGGTACACCCTGTATAGTTCACCAGTCAATCAGGGCTGACACATAGAGACAGACCACCATTCACACTCACATTAACACCAACAGGCAATTTAGAGCCACCAGTCAACCCAACTCTAGTCTTTGGACTGTGGGAAGAAAACCAGGGCACCAGAAGTAAAGTAAAAGAACGGAAAGAACATGGAGACCATGCAGAGGCCACAAACACTGCAACACTGTGCCAGCCCAGATTAGAAAAGAGGATGCACACAACTTCTCATTAACAAACCCTCAGATTCTGAATTTAATAGCTGCACAAATATCTACTCATAATCCCAGGTCATAGATAGTGTGTAAAACTAATGTAAACACCTGCAGATTACAGAGTATCTTCTTAAATTATTATCCACTAGTTCTTAAATCATGGTAATAACTTGCATCACTTGATAATACAGAGTCGCTCCTAAAAGTGGTTTAAAAGTAATACCGTCTATAGTGTGCTGTCTCTTCTCTTGCCCATCTTATACTACATAGGGAAGAGATTAATTTATTCTGCTTTTAGTTATGAAAAATGATTCATGCATGGTTTTCTTTTTCAGCAATCACTACACAAACAGTATATCTTATAGACTGAGCAGCCTATAACTCAACTGAACTTAAAACTACATTTGTATTAACTGATAACACCTGAGCTACTGTTTATAGTATTAGGAAGTATAGAATCCCTCTGATAACTCATAGTAAACACCTCTGTGTGACTTAAAAGCAGCTTCTATTCTTGTAGCACTTTAACATGCCACATCATGTCTAGTAGGAGCTCACAAGAGGCACTTGAGGGCAGGATTAGACAGGAGTCAGGTCAACAATCTGAATATTGCATTCTTATAGTTTTTTAAGTTGCTTGGGTCTATTCCAAAACCTTTGCTGTGGAGGGAGCGCCTCAGGTAGTTAATTTTTAGAAGGAGGGTGAGATATAGATGATTTAGTACCAACCTTGGTGGTGGTGGGGATGAGCTGGGTGACCTCATTGAGGCTGTGCAGATGAGGAACCAGCTCCAACCACAAGTTGACCTGAGGAGAGGAGAGAAAATATGAGGTGGCAGAGAAAATTAAGGGATACTGATACTGAGAGCTGTCTTGAGATGAGCATACCAACGTCATTTTGGCAACTTAGATCATAAAACCTATAGAGAAGAAAACTACAGACGTATGAAAAACTGCTAAGAAAAAATTAATCTTCATAAGCATAATGACTATCTGATAATAATAATAACCTAATATAATTTACTTGTAAATAATTCATGTTTTTCAAAAGACTACAGTTAGATCAAAGTAAAAAACAAATATGTCTCAATGTATTTGACACATTTTTAAAAAAAAGTTGTGCAGCATAGGTTACCACAGTGATCTATCGCAATTGAAGGGAAGTCAGCTTTGTGATACTGGAAAAAAAGTATCTTTCTTTGTATCTATTCCAGGATGGCTATCATCAGTAATAAGTACTGAAAGTGTTAAACAGACAAGATTAATTCAGTAATATCTAACTGTACCTTGTTAGCACGGTAGTGCTCTTTGACCCTGGGCTTCAAGCCAATGTGCAGGTACAGCTGGTCCTTCTGGTTGTAGCGTGTCCATGCCACTTCTTCAAAGCGATTGGGCTTGGTGTGGATGAATTTGGTGTCCTGGGGGACAGGTTGGTTTGGGTCCCTGACAAAAAGATTTAAGTATTAATAAAATAATTCACAGAGGTGAGATCTGTTGACGGTTTTATGGCAGAACAGTTACACAAGCATATTTGAAACAATGCAACAGTAGACAGTTTGCCTCCCATGCATGACACAGTCCTCTCCTGGCCAATCAGTAATAGTTATGTCACCTTGTGGTTGTTTACTTTTGGGGACATGAAGAACTAAAGCTAAACTGAAGGAGAAGTGGACCTTTCGAGACTCTCTGTTTATTAAAATTTTAATGTTGACCTAAGTGTAGCATCTCCCTCAGGCTAATCAGTGTAATTATGAAAATACTGGAATGCAGTGGTGAGATGCAGCCTCCAGGTTTCATCAAATATTAATCAACAGTTTCTGAGATATCACACCTGATAAAATCAAAAAAAGGTCAAAAGGGGTATTATTGCTCACAGATGATTGGTGTTCTAAAGATTCTGAATGAATGAAAAGGTCTTAAGACAGCTAATAACCTGAGAAGTTTCCCCAATTTTAAGTTTTATTCAAATGCTAAAGAAGATTTGCATGACACAGTTTTTAAATTATGGATGTCTCAGTGGGGGCGAACATATTTATATATAATTCATACATAAAAAGAAGCTTCCAGCCAAGGAATATGTTTGGGTAAAGAGGCAGTTCAACCATGCTGATCATTTCCATAAAACATATGCTTCAGTAGGTGCTATAAACTAAGCTACAAAATGGCTACTATTTTATGTACAATCTACTTTTGATAAACATTAGAATGAAGCCACAATAACTGAAGAATGAATAACACTGTAAATGCAGTTCAGCAACCCCATATGAAGTCCCCTCTTATATACACAGAAGCTCACAGAGCTAATTCTGCATTGGATCCTGTGCTAGATGGATCCACTTACACTTAATCTGAGCAGAGCCAGCTATGTGAGCTATGGAAGCCCATTCAGACCCACTGAGCGCCCCATTGTCTGAGAGCGGCATATGGAGCCAGCCAGACCCTCATCAGGAACACGCTTAAACATTCAAATTGGTGGCATAAATCTCCCAGGTACCCGGCATTCCACGTCAATTTGGGGTTATATATGTAGATCATTAGTGCCTTTCTGTTCCCCCAGGGCTACTGGGCAGTGCACAGAAAAAGCCAATGTCCCCCCATTACGCTCTCAAAAAACAATTACTGCCATGACTATATGCTGAAAGGCAACGTGACACAGAAAGGGGTGGGAGGGGGGTGGATTTTAATTTTGTCCCATCGAGAATGTCACTCTTCAGGCTACGGCCATTAATTAAGAATGTATTTGAAGATATGTTGAGGGTTTCTACGTAGAATACCAATTACACTGCACAGTCCATAAAACATGATAGCACAATTTACTACTCCTACTCCTACTCCTGCTCATCAAATGTAAGTTAATATTGAGGAAACACAATTACAATTAAATGATCAATTAGTTCATGGTCTTGTAATGACAATTGCATGTTGATCAAGTGCTGTAAGACTGATTGCAGAACACATGCCCACAAAAATTGCTTAAATAACACTTTGGCTGACCTTTTATAGAGCTATGTTATTTATATGAACATGCTGAAACTTCAGGTTGCATAGACAATCACTATGCAGATGATTTAGGGAATCAAAAATGCAAATGGAATACTTTTAAATCAGAATCACACCATCAATTGTGATTTTCTTGTTTCATAAAGTCTCATTTGTGCAATTTATAGAGCACATTTTCTATATTTCCTGCTTTTCTGTGGCGCAACTCTTAGAGTTCATTCAATTCATTTACATGTAAATAAGTAATCAGGTTACGCAGGTAATCTCAGTGCCCATTACCTTGTTTCAGTAAAGATAGTTAGACTTGGTGAATTATAGCCGGGTAGAGCTCATGCAGCAGTTCAGTAATCAGACTCCTCTACCTCCTCTGACCTTGTTTTGGAACCATGACTTTCTTATTTTAACTGTAGTAGTGAGAGAAGATGCTGTGTCTGTCCTGATTTTTGTTTTTTGGTGTGTGTCTGTGTCGGAGCAGACCAACAGTGCAGGAAGGAGCGGAGCATGAAGGTGTGTAAATTTGACAATTAGTCTACATCTAGAGGATACTTTTTGTTGGGTTCAATCAGACATTGGTGGAATCATTTAAAATGTAAGTATGCATCGCTCTGTGTAATGATCTCCACTTTTATCCACCTTCTCCGCTGATTATTGAATTTTTTTTTACACACGCGTGTACCCGATATATAGCTGATTAGAGACCCTATTTCCCCTTTATGTAGCCCTATACATAGCCAGTAAATTGGTGTTCCTCAGGAGAATTCTACCTCAGGTTTCTCCAATACCACACCCTGATTACAGAAACCACGTCTCTTGAATACAATACCCTGGTTACAGGAACCAGGTTTCTCAACATTTGACATGACATTTAAGAAATCACTTTACTGGGGAAAACTGACTATAACCAACTTACTTTGTTGCTTGTAAGTGCAGTGAATGATTGAGAGTTAACGTTAGCTGTCTTACAATAGCATGAGAAAAAGAGGTAAATTCAGCTAAAGCAACATTATCAAACATGAACATGTACAAAGGCTGTGTAGATTTGGATTTCAGTCTCCTTTTACCTTTAAAACCACCAAAATCTGTTACTATTACTATAGTTGTAATTGTAATAGTTGGTGTGCTTTATGCACAAACTTTCAAACTAGCTTACAGTACATTTGAACTCAGTGGCTCTGTCAGAGTTAGGATGGCACTGTCCCAGTCCATGGGGATAACATACAGAAAGTTAGTTGCATGTTTGTTGTGTCATCATACCCTGTCTTGGCAAAGTTTGTCCAGTAGGTCATGACCACAGCACTGAGCATCACATCGTTCTTGGAGAAGTTGCAGGGAAACAGCTCTGTTGGTCCAATCATCGGCAGGCCAAACACATATGGGATCTCATCACCGTGTGCTGCGTCTGCCCATGGTGGTACCTAATGAGCGGCAGATGAATCAAATCAGATTAGTGTTATTACATTTATACATGACACTGAAAGGAATTATTTTTGCTGCTGACACACAATGGATATACAACACACACAGACAGATCAGAAGAAGAAGCTGGGAAGCTACACCATTTTTTGAGAGAGAAAAGGGAGAATTGGATAAGTTTTTAATATTATTTTGCCTAACATTTCTGGTCCATTATTTAGTGTATTACAGAGGAAGACAGGATGAGAAATAAAGGGTTGGAACAGGCTGTATTTGAGCTGAATTTTAAACTAAAATGTTGATGTACATCTTACGCACTGAAAAGAAAATGTGGGGATTTAATCACCACTCCTCATTTTCTTTTGGGAATGGATAATTAGAGAGAGTGGTTGTGTACAAGCAACAAAATATGCAGATAGTAGTTATGGGTAAAAATAGGAGTAAGGAGATAGGAAGCCACAACTAGATAAAGTGTAATATCTTCTATATCTTTGACTCCAACTAGTGAGTAGTCACAGTCATGTAATTGGAATAAAATCAGACTTTGTTTTGTGCCACAATGAAGTACTGTCTCTTTGTATTTTAAGGCAATCTGCCTCCATGTCACAAAGCAAATGCATTTTGTTCAATTACAAAAAAAATGAGAGCCTCAAGTTGTGTTCGAACTAAAGACGTTAATTTCAGAGGTGGTGCAATTGCATGCAAAAGTCAATGGAAAGACGTGCATAGATGACATCCTAGTTTGCTCTAGATAGTACAAATTGAGGCAAAGTTGAAAATGTTTTGACTTCATGCTCAACTTTAGAAATTAATTGAGAAAAATGACAGGATGAACTGGATTTCCTGGTAAGTCCTAAGATCAGTGCACAGATTGAGCAGTCACAAATACAGACGCACTAAACTATATTTCTCTTTTACTTCATTCATCCAGTCTCATTGGGTTGTCAATTTCTTTTAGGGATATTTGACTATCCCAAATCAGGCTGGTGATTCAGACATCTGAAACCAGAATACTTGAAAGCATCTTCAGAGTTGGTAGACGTAACTGATATTAAATGCTATAATTACCTGTCACACCTTCACATATAAAACTTTACCCAGGGAGACAAAGAACAAGCCAGTAGTATTTTATAACTTTAGCCAGACACCCACCTGTTCCGTCTGACAGTGGTGGTAGAAGGCATAGAAGTATGTCGGTGACCCAAAGCTGGAGTGCAGGTCAGCTGTGGCGACAGCTGGTGCCACCCACTGGTGATCAGTGAAAAGGGCCAGCAGTGTCTTCCGGCGGGTCTCTGGGTTGTGCCGGTCGGCCCAGTCTGTGTACATGAACTTGATGGTCTCTCTGAGGATGTCTTTACCCTCTGGGTAGCCATAGAGATCGTCCACAAAACTGGACACCGCGTAGTCAAAGTCGTTAGCCTGAACGCCATTTTCATTGTCCACGATGAGCTCCACGAACTTAAGGCCCTCACCCTGGTTAACTCCGAGCATAATATCATAGTTGAGGAACTCACCTGGAAAAAGATGGTGCAGATGGTTGTTAAAAAAAATAAATTCAAGGCAAGAATATTGTTGGAAATTGATGGCTGTTAAGCAAAGCGAATGTATACCTTGCTCCATGAGTATCTGAGGGTCATCAGGTATAACATCTCCATCAATAACAGGCCCGAAGGCGATGTGGTAGCGTGCTGGCTGGATGTCTTGATCCACCAGCTCCTTGTAATGTTTCCTCTGAAGGCACACAACAAGCTCTACTGTGTCCTCCAGGTTACAGCCCACCTTACGGGCCAGCATCCGGGCGTATTTGGCTGGCTGAAAACTGACGGCCCAGCTGGACAGAGCTGTGCCACTCTGGGCGATGGCCCTCTGGAACAGGCCTGGAGATAAAAACAGCACAGGTGCAAGGAGGAAAAAAAGAAGCAAATTATGATTCTGGGAACTCATTATAACGTAAAAAGTATACACATACTTGGGGTGATGCTTTCAAATGGGTTTGTGTTTACTGTGTTCATGAGAAGATTCCTATTGAACGACCCTCTCTTGTGGTATTCACAGTCTTGCAAGTGGAAAACTTCAAGTTCACAAGTTTGCTGACAGAAATGCTGAAGTTTTTAGTGGATGCTAAGTTCCTATTTTGTGACATTGTCATGATGACAATGATGATTGAATTTCCTGTATTTTATTACTACCCTTGCTAGCTTGTAATGTTGATGTTGGTGGCTTCTAGACACAATAATAGTCCAAGTTGCCTAGTAGTAGTTCCATTTGTATATTTGTCTCTACAGAAAAGGTAAAACACATCTGAAAGCTTGTTCATCCTGTTGTTAAACCTGCTTGCATACCTTATCACTTTAATTCAAATCAATGTAAAAAATTACAATTATTAGAAAAACTAAATAGATTAAAACTTTGTCCCTCCAAAATATGATATCGTACCCTTCATGAAGTTTCATGCCAACAACTTCTAGTTGATCCAATTTTGAAAGCCATATTTAAGGAAATACCAGCACCAGATTTACATTAATCCATGACTGAAAATAGTCCCTAACAAATGCACTATTTCCCCCAGTTCCAGTGAAATTTGCTAACAATTACAGGACCAAGCTGTCTTAGAAAATTACTGAGACATTCTTCAGAAACTAAACTTTAAAAAAAAAGTTTTCAGAATGAACCCATGGGCTTGGGGGCCTAGACAGCTGCCACAGACAGGTTAGGGAAGCCAGAGAGTTCAGAAAGAAGGTTAAACACATTGTTTGTGTTAGTCTTTTCATACTGTTAGTTGAAGTATAAAGAATAGCACTAACCTTATGTTTTAAATGACCTCAGTCAGAACAGTCCACAGAAGATTTCTGTGTGTTCCATCACACAAAAATTTAAAATCTCTTTCATCCCTTTACTGAATGTGGTAGCTGAGTCTGTACATGAAACAGCATTGATAATTGGTAGCATTTATTTTTTCCCCTTTTGCTCTGATCAGATGAAATGCAGTGAAAGCAGTTCATGTTTTTGCAATTCCGTTTCCAAGTACTTTTCTTTATGACTTTTAAATATAAAATTTAAAAGGTCCAGGGTGGACGATGTTGTTGCTGATATCAACAGCCCCGCCTCAACCTTCTGTTCCAAGTGTGTAGGAGAAAGTACGGTGGCTTCAAAACTTGCAAAAAACAACAACACAAAAAGCCCTATCTCGAGCCAGTGTTTGGGTTGCCTGTTTTTGGCTACTGGTTTTTCAACATGGCATACTCTATGGGCGTAAAATTACCTGTTCCATCATTATACAATAATTCTTTGGACAATGAGATGAAATTTGCCGATATCACAAAGTCTACCACAATATGTTTTTGATTACATTCAGGGGCCTGCGATCGATGGGAGACGATATCATATATACCCAAACAGTTACATATATATTGACTCACTAAAATATAATTTGAAAATTTTCTTTAAGACATTTATTTTATCTGAGACTGGCATTGTTTGCATATGGCAAGTGCCTTGTCTTTATTGCCACACTTTGTATCGATATATTGGATCATTGAACATTGATATCAATTTATTGATCCAGATCAATGTTGTTAAACCCCTAGTGGACTTTTTTTCAGGTGATTATACAGTAATGAAAACATACCTATGAATATGCTCTTTCATTTCTGCCAATAGATCCTCCTAAATGTTATAAACTGGACCTTTAAAAAACTACATTTATACGCCACCCTTTTTATTGCTTCCAATACATCTGACCTCATCCTACAATGCTGTCAGACAAACACATGTTAGGATGATAACTCAAATCACATTATAATGTTTATACTGCTATACTTTGTTAAAAACAACAACAGCTGACTGAGAAAGTTGCCTATAGGCTAGTGCTTTACTTCTACATTATGTATGTACAGCGTGTGTCTACCTACCTTCAAAAGATTTTAACTGATCCAAACACCTTTTAATCAGTCAGTTTGTTTGGCCAAGTAAAAAACAACAGTATTTAAAGTCAGGTAGTGTCTCATTATCGCAGCTCAATGTTGTAGTTACAGTTAATTTAGGCACTGCTACATGAGAACAAAAGGCGCCATTCAAGACACTCAATCATATGTTAACACACATGTAGCCGAAACAAGCACCAAGCAATCACATGGCCCTACACACCACTGAGGTGCACACACAGTACCGCATAGTATACACTCTTAAATGTAGATGAAGATCCCACAGTGAGTTCCCTGCTGATTTTTACCTTTGGTGGAGTTGCTCCAGCGGTTGCCCTCCGAGTAGTGAGACAGTGTGAGCAGGTTGACACAGGAAGCTCCGGCGCCTGAGCCGAACACAGTGATACGTAACGGGTCGCCGCCGAAGGCTGCAATGTTCTCACTGGTCCAACGCAGAGCCTGGATCTGGTCCAGCAAACCATAATTCCCTTTGGCTGCCTGGTCACCTGTGCTCAGGAACCCTGCACGAGAGGACAAAGAACAGAGGAGACGTCAGTTTTATTCTCCCTTTTGTTATTATTAGCCATCAGGTTCAGGAGCGATAATATTACAAATGACAAGAAATTATTAATAAAAAATGACTTAATGGCAATAGTTCCCCTTTTTTAAAATCCATCAGTTTTCATCACTGAAAGCAAGAGAAAATGCAATGGTGTAACCAAAAACTGCTCCAATGAACAAAGTTTTGCTTTAAGGAATTGGGAATGAACGTTTAAAATGTAAATGTAGAAATGTACAAGTTCAAAGCAAATAGTATTGATTTTTGACAAAATATACAAGTAAGGTATAAAAGAAGAGCTATTACACCCTTCAAACTATAAATACATTACACAAATGATCAGTTAGTCCAATTTAACCTTTGTGAGAGCTGAAGAGGAAGACAAGGCAGAGGAGGGGAGTTAACGTATGTACTCATGTGACATAAAGAAGCTCTCTCTGTAATTCTGCTGCTATGGAAGTACTCAATCGAGATTTTGCCTCCACATTTTCATCACAAGCTCAACTGATAAAAGACAATCAGCAAACAGATCATAGAGCAGAGTACAGTGTGTGACTTTTATTTTTATTATATGAAAGAAAAAATGTTTTACAGTCATAAGCTTGCCGTTAATTATCCCTAAAAATGAAATAAATAAAATGAAAAGACCACCGGGGACACAACTATTATTTTTTCCCCACTTAATTTCTTTTTGATCTCCTTGATTAAAATAAAATAAACAAAAATCTACTTTTGGACCATCTGAGCACAACTGCCAGCAGATAACGAGGCACATTTCTCCGTTGTACAAGGAAAAACCAACAAGCCTGGCTGTTTAATAATTTGCTGCAATAAAACAAGAGTTATTACCCTGTAGAGCCACTTAAAGTGTGGATACGCTAAATATAACACAGACAGACTCATTTTGGAGAGAGACGTATGATCCAGCCCCAAATAGAGCTTACAGTGATGATGATGATGATGATGATGATGATGATGATGATGATGATGATAATGATGACAAAGAGTCATGTGGCGCGAAAACAGCTCTTTATTCTAACATGATTTTTTGCAGAGGAACATGCATTTGTTTCCTCAGAGCAAAGAAATAAAGTAGTTGGAAGAATGCACTGCAGAAAATTAATAACTTTCAAAATCCCTTCAGTTGGCCCAAACATATGAGATGTTCCATTTTTGTTTTAATGGCCAAAAATAAGGTGAAATTTTAAAGATTCTTCAATAGATCCAGATTTAATTTTCCTAACTCTGCATCTCACTATCTCATCTTTCAATTTATTAAAAGGCCATTCATAATTACAGTCTACCCCTAATGCCTCATGAATAAAAACATAATGCTTCTTGATGTACTTTATCACCCCACATAGACCCTTATGCACACCGTACAACTAAAACTTGGTTTTGACCTCATAATAACTGATTCCTCAACATTTTAAGTAAGTGCAACACACATCTGCCACATTATGAACTGGTAAATGGTAAATGGACTATACTTATGTAGCGCCTTTTTAATCTTCCAACCACTCAAAGTGTTCTACACTACATGCCACAGTCACACACATGCATGGCACAGGCCATCACAAACAGAAAGTAATTCATTCACACATGGATGGCACAGCATCAGGAGCAATTTGGTGTTCAGTATCGTGCTCAAGGACACTTTGACTGATTCTGATTAGTGGACGACCAGCTCTACCTCCTGAGCCACAGCGTGTAATAGACCCGCTGATCCACCAGAGGATTTTGTCGGTGTCACGTTTTCGTTCGCTTAGACGTGAAAAGTACACGTGTGCATAATGGTGCAGTACATTTGTATTGGTTACGACAACACTGTATACTCACTACAGTAATTGAGATCAACGATAGGACCAGAGGCAAAAATGATAAAAATAAGACACAAGATGTAATATCCAGGAGAAAACTGAAACATAGCAACGCAACAAGTGACAATGCAAATATTCATGTCTATGGCCTTTAATTATAGTTAATATACTACAGGTACTACATATGCTACATATGCTGAAGTCCTTACAAGGGTCCATATACTCACAGTATACCAACCTGCTTTACAACAGAACCACTCCTCCCCCGTCCAATTAAACCTCTCAGGTACTCCCGGTCAATGCGGCTGCATAAAGATCTAGTGCAAGCTAGCGAGGCATGAATGTTCAGACGAGACAAGGCACCTCAAGTATACTCAGAGGAGAGCTCTGGTCTTTTAAAGCAATTTCATGTCCAACACCACCCGACAACTGCCACCTCTCCCTCTGATTTCCATGCTAAAAGCTCCATTACGTGCTGCAGGCATCTAGGGAGTCCCCCACACCCACCAATCCCACCCATGAACGGTCCCCCACCCCCCGCTCACATATTTAACTCCCCGTCCTCTTATACGCTCTTATTCTCAGCATCGTCCCGCTCCCTGACTAAATGGAGTGCTCATTATCCGGTGTCAGTCAACAGGACAGTTCAGTTCCACAGGGATCCATTCAGGCCACATGTATAGACACCTAGAATAACGCCTCTGAGGAGGTACACACTCCTGTAATAGGCCGCAAAAAGGAACAACGAAATTATTGCCCTGTGAAAAGGTATTGTGCATTTTAGTCCATTTTTCTGATAAGGTGAAAACCAGTATCATATAATTTCTCAGAATAAACAAATAAAGGCCAATTTGAAAACAGAATTTAATTTCAGCAGCACTAGTGCCGTTTTTTTCTTTTTTCTAAAACACATACTGTTTTGACACACTAACCTCTTTAATGTGAAGTTCTGTGAATAGAACCTGTAAAGTCTTATTAACAGTAGGTTAAAAGCTACCAAAAAGCAGACAAAACAGGGAAAATTGAAATCTGTCTTGAATATAAGCCAGTCTCAAGCTTCTCTACAGTTAAGGCACATAAACCCCTCTATTGGACATTGTACACTAATATACATTGTCATTTAGAATGTATCATTGAATCCGTTCAGATCAACCAGAGGTATCGAGTAATTCTAAAATAAGTACACAATCAAGCTGCATCCTATCAATCACATCAGAGGCAGAAAACACAGAGTATTAGTTTCCGTACTTAGCACTGAGGATAGCAATGTCAGTTGCTTGGTCCACCAACAACTGCTGGATGGATGGCCATGAATTTTATGTTAAATGTTCCCCTCAGGATGAACTGTAATAACTTTTTTAATAGTGCCATCATCAGGCTCATTTTAGTTTCCCCAACACTTTGATTCATGACCAAATACTGCAAATATAATGGAATTCCCATAAGCCTCAGCTGTAGGTGTACTCTGTGTTCAGCGCTAATAAGCAAAAGTTTTAGCATGTTAACATGCTAAACTAAGATGGTGAACATGGTAAACATTACACCTGCTGAACAACGTGCAAGCATATGCTAGCACTGGTTTTTAGCTCAAAGCACTGCAGCCTCACAGCTGCTAGCATGGCTGTAAACTATTAGTTAAAAAAAGCCAATATCATAAACTAAACCCAAATAGCATCAAAAATCATATGTTTGTATTGCACATTACACAATGATATGACTGAATATGACTAATACATAATATTTACTTATGCATGATGGCACATGAGATTGTGATTACAGTAACCGTAATGTATATATTATGTTTATAATAGCTTGCTAATTGCTTGCATACAGTCGTCTGAATGGTACTTGATGTAAAGTAAAACTGCTGACTTATATTTCATCGATGGTAGTAAAGAGTCATTTGCTGATGAAAAAAAAAAAAGATGACACACACACACAAATGCGGACACAAAATGGTTTGTTAATGTTTTTTGTCATGAAGTCGTCAGTTCACAAGTAGCATCCGGCTGCCTACATAAGCACTCTCTCTCTCTCTCACACACTGAAGCTTGCACTGCTTCACACACTTCCACTCCCTCACAAACAAATATAGTACATTTGCATCCACACTGACACCCACAGACAGGCACGTCCCTCTGCTGACTTTTTAATTGAGTTCATTCTTTTTCTATTCCCTTCCCACTGGCTTATTTATTTATTTGTGCGTTTCTTGATCAAAGCCTAATCTTGTGGAAGCAACAGCAACCATCTACAAGAGAGATTTTAATTGATTCAATTTAGCTGCAGTGCGGGGATGGGCTGGCAATCACAAAGAGCGAGGCAGGAAGAATGATTAGTACGCCAACAGTGGCGGGGCAGCAGGACAGGGCTCCCCCTCCCTCTCTGTCTCTCACTAACACACACACACACACACACACAAGGGTACTCTAATACAGACATGTTGAGATACAAGAACCACAAATGTGAATACACAGATGTGAACCAAAAACAAGCATGTTTGATTTGAAGACTTATTTTTTATTCACGTTCTTTAACCCATATTCTAATTTAAATCTAATCTTAATTCTGATATAACAAAAACTATTAAAGCTGCAGTAGGTAACTTTTATATTATTGCTGAAATTTTCACTGTGTTCTGACAGTAGTACATGAGACAGATGATCTGTATAAAACATTAGCTTCCTCTGGCTCATTCTAGCGCTCCTAATTGTGGTATTTGCAAGAATCCACCGTGCCTGGATTAAACCAACCAATCAGAGCTATCTCTAGCTAGAAGATGCCTTGAGTTGGAGGCTTGAAGATAGTTGATTGTTGAGTTTCATTCCTAGGAGTCCCAAAGCGAATGTATTTGACACCTTGGGAATGAGACTCAACAATCAACTATATTTCTCAGCTCTGATTGGTTGTTTTCGGTCAGGCCCAGTGGATTCATTCAAATGTCATTAGGAGCACTAGGAGGAGCCAGAGGGCTTTTTTCACAGGTTATCTGTCTCATGTACTACTGTCAGGATATAGTGAAAGTTTCAGTAAATATGACAAAAAATATTTTAATAAAAAATTACCTACTGCAGCTTTAAACAAATGAACCCTCTGAGATACCTGGTCAAAGATTGGAGGCCTCATGGGCACACAGATACAT